GTTGAAGCAAGCGGTATTGGCTTTGGAAATAACATGTAGCACTTTCATTCTCTCATGTATACAAAGTTGAATTCATAACTACCAAAATGCACAATTTTTATATTCACGCCTAAATACTTAAAATTTAAATTTAAATTTAAAATTACTCCTAGACATCTTGAATATAAGTGGAAAACTCTCAGACCTTTACAAAGATAACTTCCCACCACTAATTGACAAGCTCAAATATGATTTGGAAAGGTGGAATAATTTACATTTAACTATTACTGGGAGGGTAAACTGTATCAAAATGAACGTCCTCCCTCGCTTTCTGTACCTCTTTCAATGTCTGCCAGTCTTCCTACCAAAATCACTTTTTCGTAAAATAGACAATCTAATCTCCTCTTTTTTATGGCAAGGGAAGACACCTAGAATTAGGAAAGAGCTTTTACAAAGGCATAGATCTACAGGAGGATTAGCGCTTCCAAATATAAGACACTACTATTGGGCAGCCAATATCCACAAAATAATTCTATGGACTAAGGAACCAACATTGAGTTGGTGTGAGCTTGAAGCCAAATCCTGTCCTAATACCTCACTCTTGGCTTTGCTTACATCTACATTACCCAGCCGGCCAACTCAATATTCGAATAACCCGATTGTTGTTTCCACCTTAAGAATTTGGTCCCAATTCAGAAAGGCTCATGGACTCTGTGGATCCTCATGGACTCTGTGGATCCTCTATACATAGTCCCATTCGCAACAACCATCTCTTTCTCCACCCTTACACTGATGGGGCCTTCTCTATGTGGCAGGGATTAGGTTTTATCAGAGTAAGGGACCTTTACATTAACAATGTTTTCGGTAGCTTTAGCCAACTCTCTGACAAATGTTGCCTTCCAAGCACTCATCTATTTCGCTACTTCCAGGTCCGAAACTGGGTTAAACTAAACAATATCCCTCCGGATTCAATAATTGACTAAATTCTGGACACTTTAACAATCGAAAAAGGTCTGATTTCAAGAATTTACAATTCCGTCTCCCGTCTCACAGAAACATCGCTTGGTAAAATCAAACAACATTGGGAAGAGAAACTAGTCCAAGCTATAGATGATGAGGTCTGGGATGGCGCATTAGCGAGAGTGAACAACAGTACGTCCTGTGCCAGGCTCAATCTTATACAACTAAAAGTTGTCCACCGTATCTATTACACCAACTCTAAACTCTCCAAAATATATCCAAATGTTACGGACACCTGTAACAGATGCCACATGTCACCAGCAAACATGACTCACATGTTTTGGTCTTGTCCTCGCCTACAAGGATACTGGACAAGCATTTCAATCACCTTACTGAGGCCTTGGACGTGGTATTGACACCATGTGCAGAAATTGCCATTTTTGGAGTACTACCTGGCCACCGAATGTTGAAGAGGAAAACTAAAGACAGTATAGCCTTTGCATCTATCTTAGCACATAGAAGAATACTCCTAGAATGGAAATCTTCTATACCACCTGCATCTCTATGGCTTAAAGATTTAATGTTGTACCTGAACTTGGAGAAGATTAAATATAACCTGAGGGGCTCCTCAAAGCTATTTGAATCTGTCTGGGTCTCTACCATAGCCTACATAGCTGAACTTAAGACACTACATTAAGGAGAAAGAGGGGGAACTACGAATGTATGTGTATGTTTTTTTTTCCTTGTGTCTCTTTTTATCTGTTTTTTTTTTTTTTTTTAATATATTAATTTATTTATTTTTTTTTTATTTATTTGTTCTGTCTTTGTATACATTTATGTATGTAGGTACGTGTACAGTATGTATGTGCATGTGTACATACATGTATGTATGTAGGTACGTGTATGCATGTGCATGTGTACATGTGGGTATACATATGAGTATATGGGTACAAGTATTACTGATACTATTCTTTATTCCCTTATCTATACATTTTCTTTTAATATTATCTTCTATATTACTTTACTTTTACCTATACAGGTATCTATTTTATTTATTTAGTTAGTTATTTATTTTTACTAGCTAGGACCGGGAGGGAGGGAAAGGGGAAAAATAAATAAAAATATTGACTGTATAAATGTAAACTCATTGTGCCTGACTCAATAAATAAAAAAATGCACAATTTTTGTAGGTAAATACACTCATTGGTTTTAATGCTACTTTCTCTTGAGTATCCAAGGTGAGCAATGTTGCTAATAATGCTAATGCTAAAACTAGCAAGATAATAGTTTGTAATTAACTGCATCAGTCCTTAGGAACTCTTATTGGGCTACTTTATGTTTTAGAAATTAATATGACCCCTAATAGTCAATTTAAACAATTACTGTGGCCACGTTAACATAAAAAGTTAGATATTCTTGCTAGAAGTATTTAGCTTGAGGCATGGTGCGATTAGCTTAGCTTAACAGAAAGACAAGAAGCAAAATAAACCTGCTTTCTGGGCTCTCTCATAGATATAAAATAACCCCTTATCCTGACAAATGAACACCATATTTAAGCATATTATTCTAACTAACTCAAAAGAGAGCCAGGCTAGCTATTTTAGTAGCTAATCTCATCGCTAAGATAAACTAAGCGAAGCTAAGCTAATCACCTCCTGGGTTCAAATCCATACTAAAACAAACAGACATTGGGGTATCAATCTTCTCATGCCCCATTTGCCCAAATGTTGAACCTTTCCTTTAATTGCTGAGATTCTGGACCACAGTGACATCACTAAAGATGGTCCAAAAGAAGCAACAAGGCAATTATACAGGTATTAAACATTTATAATTGACATTTTGGTGTTTTCATTTTTGTGTTTCATGTCTGAAAAAGTCTGTGTGCTGCTTGGTCTGTAGAGCCACTTCTGTCTTCCTGCAGCTCCACATGTGGACATTTTAATGGAAAAGCTTTTCATAGGAAGACTCCTAAAATACATGACAGCCCTTTGATCTCCAGCACTTGTGTGTCTGTGTGTGCATATGCAAAAAGGATAGAGTGAGTAGTGTGTGTGCATTTGTGTGTGTTGCCCAGTAAAGGTGAGAACATGAAACACTCTCTTTCATATTTAATGAGAGGAGATGGGGCTAAGGAACGTTGCACTGTTCACAGGAGGTATTCCCAGGGGCTGTTAACCTGCTCGCAGCACCACTCTGTTATATCACTCTCAACCATGTGTGTGTTATGCATTTTAGTTAGTGTGCTGGCAGAAAATAGCCATTTCTACTGAAAGTTTAATCATTTGTTTTGAGGGGATGGGGGCAGGGGTTCAGAGGAGCATATGCACATGTGCACGAGCATTGTTTTGATATTTCCGCTTTGCATGTGATGGATGCACAGCAATCCCTTGAGTATGTTAACCAGGCCAAGCAGTAATAATCAATGTTTGCGATGACCATACAGTATTTTGTATGTTTGTATGCCTGTCTGTGTGTGTTTCTCCAGCCTCGAGGAGCTTTAGCGCTCTCTGGTTGCTACCCTTTCTGATTTTGACACATTTTCCCGGCTCCTATCTTCGTTCTCATCCTGATTAACTTCCCTTTGTCACAAATCAAAGTTGGTATGACTTTAAAGCCGAGCTGCAATGGAACACACTGTCCCCAAGCTCCAGTGCCAGATTCAGCTTGGATACTACTTTGGTTTCTCACACTATGTAACCAACTTAGTTTTGAATGATCATGCTATTATGCTAAAACACTTTGTGCATTTGGGAATATGCTTTAAATGCTAATTGATCATAGCCTGGGAAGCAAACAGGGAGACTCCTTATCAGACATGTTGTGAAGAGCTGCAATTTGTCAGTGAGCTATGGGCAAAGGATAGAGGAGAGAGAGACTTTAAAATCATGTCCAGTGTGAGTGATAGCTGTCGGAGGTGTGAGGAAGAGCTTTGATCATTGGGAACAAAGGCAGCATGTTATGCATCTTAGCACTTTCTACCCATGCTTGTGGATTGACTCTATTGATGAAAACAATGGTCCATTGGTCCAGACTGAAATATCACAACCATTGAACGGATTGCCATGATATTTCCCACATACATTCATGGTTCCCAGAGGATGAATCTTAATGAATTTGGTGATCCTCTGACTTTTCTTCTGGTCCCATCAACAGGTTGACATGTGCGAGTAAAATGTCGACAGCTATTGCATGGAATGCCATGATATTCACAACAAATGTTCAAGCTCCCTTGAGGATACATTTGAAACACTTTAGGGATCATTCGACTTTTCATTTAGTGTCACCCTGAGGTCAAGATTTCAGGTCGCTCAATGTGCTGGATAAAGACCAAATACTTCAAACGAATGCCATTCCCCACAGCCTCAATTAAACGTTGTGCTAAGTGCCAATTCTCAAATATGAGCATGCTAGCTATTGTTTGGTAAATAGTAGTTGCAAAAAATGTGCATGTTCTTTTTCGATTGTTTCCCACACCATTTGTGCTGTTTAATCTGTTTGTCATTGGTCAGTAATGGACAGTCTTGTAGTATTCAGTGTCAAACTGTGAAACACTGATAAAAAAAGGGTACCAGTTGCTATCTGGTAGCCTTAGTGTTTGTGCTTGCTCTAGTTTTAGCTCTTAATATTTACAGCATGGAAGAGATGCAGGCCATAAATATTTTACTGATGTAAATTCAGCCACAAGATCTATCAATATTTGGTGTTATTTTGCAAGTTTCTATTGGAAGGGGATTCATTTTATGAGCAGGGTTAAAAGAGTCCTCTTTAATCAATGTGACAAGCTGCTGAGAAAACACTTTTTTATATCTTGTCTTGTCGCCATGCAATTTTTATACAAGATAAGATTTCAGAATACTCACAAGCCTGATCATACGGCCCGCTTTGACAGAAAAGCAATCCCTCCAGTTAGCATGTTATCACACCATCAAATTCTTGGTAATTAAACTGACGCTGTAGACTTATTCTGCCACAAAGATGTTTGTCATGCAAGATCAATATTCTGTTGCAAGTTCATTGCATAAACAAGCCCTTCATTAATGTTGTTGTTTTCTTTTTTACAGAGCTTCCGTACGGCTGGGAGAAAATCGATGACCCCATTTACGGCAGCTACTATGTTGAGTAAGTCGGGTACATCTTTAATATGTAATGGCTAGCTTTTGATTTTCAATGCTGCCCGGTGGTGCTGTATTAATCCTATTTATTAGGAGCAGACAGGCGCTGCAGCCAGGAAGCAGCCGCTCCCTCTCTCGCTCCCTCTCTGTCTGCCTCCTGACGGATCACAGTTTGTTTGCAGGAGGAAGTTTGTCTGTCCGCGTGTGCTTATCCATAATTCTGTGTTATCTTTCTGTCTGAGACACGCACTGCATCTATATCTGTAGATTAGCTCATAAGCAGAGAGTAATGTCTCTATTTAAACATCCTGCATGTATGCTCATCCATATTCTTGTGTGTGTGTTCACTGCTGCAGTCCTCTCTATTGAAATGCATGTCCCCTCCCTGTGCTGAGGTGTCATTTATTTGGCTGGGTGCTCTCTACTCCCGGGCGGAGTAGGGACCGGGATCTATTTTTAGACAGTCAGGGGGAGTCATTTGACTCGACTTTGCTTAAGAAAAACCTCCGGAAAGACACTTGTCTACTCACTGCCTCATATACTGCACACTCCCTCTGGAAAACTTCTCATTGTCTCACTTTGGCTTCACGTAAATATCATGAAAGAAGTTGCCAGACCTTGAAATTATGTAAGCATGTTAAGATATAGTCAAGCTGTTTTGTAATTAGCACAGTGATTCTGGGGTGTTCATTAAAAGATAAGGTGTGTGTGTGTGTGTGTGTGTGTGTGTGTGTGTGTGTGTGTGTGTGTGTGTGTGTGTGTGTGTGTGTGTGTGTGTGTGTGTGTGTGTGTGTGTGTGTGTGTGTGTGTGTGTGTGTGTGTGTGTGTGTGTGTGTGTGTGTGTGTGTGTGTGTGTGTGTGTGTGTGTGTGTGTGTGTGTGTGTGTGTGTGTGTGTGTGTGTGTGTGTGTGTGTGTGTGTGTGTGTGTGTGTCAATGCAGCCTCAAGGAGTAAGGGAAGTATCCAATGATGACTAATTATTTCGCACTGGATAATGACAGTATTTGTAGCCGTTGACTATCTTCCCCCTTACCAACTAAATTAAGAACAATGTGGGATGTTAAAGGATAATCACTGTTTCATGAGTAGGTTTTCACCAGTCACTGTTTCACATACTTCTGGCTGATTCTTTGGGCAGGAAAGCCCAGGATCAGTCGTTTGTTCTTATTTCACTGAGCAAAGCCACTCTGCGGCTCAGTTACATAACCTGGGGACCGGCCGTTTAATTAATCATCACAGCAATAGTTGCTGCTGCGCCAGGATTTTTAGTTTTGATCTTCGCAGGCTTATTTGGGTGCAGCAGGATAGTGTGAAATCTAAAATCTCCTCCTCTTTCTTTTTATCATCGTAGCCATATAAATAGAAGGACCCAGTTTGAGAATCCCGTCCTGGAGGCTAAAAGGAGAGTTCAGCAGCAGCAGCAGATGCAAAGCCAGGGTCTGTCCTCACTGCCCCTCCCCACCATCTACAGAGGTAAGACCACCACATTATAAGGTAATATTCATATTTATTATCTGTCTGTATGTTTGTAGAGTATCGATCTATGTCAACAAAGCTAAGCGCTCTAGCTTAGTCAGTTATCTTTGACAGGGAGAGTGTCGTAGTCCAGGCCAATACATCCTATTATTAGCTTTTATTATAACCAGGTTTATTTAAAACAAAAAAAAACTGTTATAAAAAGTGAAGATCTTCAGAGGTTCTCCTCCAAAGGATCAAGTTACAAATAGTGATTTTTACAGTATAAACCTTAATTTGTAAATAACTTTACAACACATCGGTTGAATCTGTGAGGTTTTTGGTATAACTTATAGTGACTATGGGCCAATAAAGAATGAAAACTAAATTCATTTTTGTTTTGAGTCAACCAATGTCACTAACTTCTTTAATTCATCGGTTTTATAGGAAGTCTTTAATATCACAAGAGCAGCGTTAAAAATAACACTAAAATAATTACTTGTATCACTGAACTCTAAAAGACATTTTCATTATTGTGTCATGCATGTGAATATTTGCCTTCAATACACCACAGAATCATATAATGCAAATAAGGAAATAAAGATCTTCTTATCTAAAACATAATTCATAAATCTCAGACAAAACATGCACTGTATAGTATTCAGTATCATTATGCGCAATATGAAACCAAATGGGACACAATTTCCTTGTTTACCGAATAGCTTTCATCCAGGAAGAAAATAGATGCACACTTGTTGCCTACAGTATATACTGTATTTCATCATATAACCCCCACCTGCATGTTGCTCGTTAATCAGGTATACCTCTATGTTGTTTGACAGCAGATCACTCTTCAGCGTCAGTCAAACAAGTCCCCTGTGTTCTGGAGGAACTGCTAATAATACTTGTGGGTCGTATAAATAGTGAACGTGTGGGTTGGAATGTGATTCATCGTTTTGTTTAATTGTTGCCACCTGATTCCAGCGCTCACTCCACCAACAGTAGTACGACAAACTGCTAGACAAAAACTGTCTGGACTGGTGAAGTGGAGGTTTGTTTCCATAGTAACGTAGTACTCCGAGAGCCTGTCTCCGTGGTTACACTTTGTGTACATTTTCAGTGAGGCTCTCTCTCCTCCTTCTCCCAACCCCTCCATCCTCCTCCTTTTCCTTTAAATATTGATGCCAGAGGAGGATGCCAGCCCCTGTGCCACCCTCCCCAGACCCCCCCGAGTTCAGGCGGGCCCGCTGCCCGAACGCTGCCACAGCCTCAGCGACCTCTCGCGCTCGCCGACGCCGGGTCGCAGGGCCGCCGCTTACGCTACGTCCTCCTCCACCGATGTCTCCCCGCTCCGCCGCTTCCTGACTCGGCGGATGAATACGTGCCCCCACCACCAGAACCAGCAGACGCAGCGGCAGCCACTTCACGCCTCCGCCTGCACTGTGCTAGAGCAGCCTGTCTGTAGCCCCTACTCCCTGTGGCACTTTGTCAGTAAGTAGGCCAAGAGAGAACTTGTCGTTGTCATGGCTGCTTGCGCTAGTTACTGTAAGCATGCTAGCTCCCAAGCAAGCTTTTTTCCCCGCTTGAGGCAGTTGAAGGATTTGTATGAGTATCGTAAACCACGACGTGTCTTATCGCCTGGCGTAAGCAGGCAGAGAGTGTAATCACTCAGTCTGCGTCTGCACCAGTGACGGCAAACAAAGGAAGTAAACTAGCACAGTAGCCACGTCTCCCTCCGAGGTGCAACGATGGGAGACTTGGTTAAGTGTGACTAAGCTTGTTGGCTGAGATCCTCTCATTTCTACACAAGATGCCCCCCTCCTCCAGAAATCCCCCAGCTCTCCCCTTGCTCGCCAATCTCCCAGTTCTTCCCTAACCCTGTCAACCATATTTTCTCGGAGCTAATCCCTGATTGACAGCATGTCACTTGCCGAATTTTGCCATTCCCTTGGTATTCTTTGGGATGGGACTGAAGACCTGCATCACTGAAGCTCTCTGCCCCCCTTTGTGCCCACCATAACCCAGCATGGAAGGAGAGGAACAGATACAAGTGTAGTGGGTGCCCTGGGAGGGATGCTGCGTTTGAACCTTGCACTGTAGCCCGCATTTCCGCTCCAAAGACCCTCCTCTGTCCAAGTTCACTGTTTCGCATTTAGGATCATCCCCTGCCAGTTTTCCTGTGGCTACACCCATATCTTTCTGGATAAGCTTCACCCATGCCCCCACCCTGTGAGCACTGCCCTGCACCAGCTTTAAGTTCCCTTTAACCTTTGCTATGAAGGCTTCACAGTGCCACAGTTTGGTTAATGTGTTTGTTTATGTGTCCTTTATAGAGAAGCCGCTGTTCACGCGGGACCCCACTCAGCTGAAAGGCAGTTTCTTGTCCACGGCACTCCAAAAGAGCAACATGGGCTTCGGCTTCACTATCATCGGGGGTGATGAGCCTGATGAATTCCTCCAGGTGAAGAGCGTGATCCCCGATGGCCCTGCCGCAGCTGACGCGAAGATGGTCACAGGTAAGCTTCGGGCGTTTTTATCAACTATCTTTATCTAACCACTCTATTGAAATACCTGAAAGTAGGGCTGTGCAATTAATCGTATTTTAATCGCGATTACGATTATGGCTTGCGACGATTAGGAAAACAGCATAATTGACAAAATACGATTATTTTGCTGGGTGCGCTTTCGCCCCTCCCTAAAAGCCCACTCGGCCACGTGGGAGTGACATGTGTTGTGAGTGTTCAGCGCAAGCGAAGATGTCAGAACAAGAGCAGCAACTAGTTAAAAAGAAGGGTCGCGGGGAGATTCCCAGTCGATCGCGAGATGTGTCTAAAAATAGAACAACAATATTCTGTTTTATCGTTAATGTCCTGTAACATAATGTTCCCGTGCCAGAATAATGCACTTGAACGCATCAAAGCTTGTGATTGGCCGGCCACACCCCATGTGTCCGGGCGTGGCTGGTGAGCAGTGCACTAGTTCGCTGACGTTGTCCGTGTCAACAGCATGGATGGTCAACAGGAGTGACAGTCCGCACACACACAAGACCGCAATTATGGCAGAAGCAAAAAAGCCCAAAATATATAATTTTCACTCCAAGTGGGAGGATCATTATTTTTGTATCTATTCCAATTCAAAGTCCATCTGTCTCATCTGCAATGCGAGCGTGGCTTTATCGAAGAAGGGTAATTTAGGAGCGGCATTTCAAAACAGTGCACAAACGCTACGAGACGGAATTCCCTCCTAATTCTGCCCTACGCTCCAAAAGGGGAGGGGCCTGAGAGCACAGCTAAATGCACAGCAGTCCATTTTCACCAGGCCCAACAACAAGAGCAAGGCTGCTACCACAGCATCTTATCGGGTCAGTCACGTTCTTGCGAAACACATGAAGTCTTTCAAAGACGGCGAAGTTGTGAAAGAAGCATTCCTGGAGGCTGCGACGCGCTTTTGTGGGACAGTAAAAATAACAGCAGCATTTCAACAGGTTTTTGATATAATAAAAACTCAATTTAAATACCGTTATTAATCTGCTGTAAGTTTTAGTTTGTTTGAATTTATTCATGATAATTATTGTACAAAATGGTATAAGAATGCAAACATTAAGATCTGTTCTGTTTAAATTGATTATAGTCTATCAGTTCAGAAACTAGTGTTGCTTGCATCCTATTTTAAAGGCATTTCTTTTTATACTCTAATAAAATGCAACAAAAAATGGGTTTGATTCTATTAATGTTGTCTTTTTTATTGCACTGTTGCTGCAGCAGATTACTGTGTAGCTTCAGATCTGAGTTGTCTTATTAGTAAGCCTAATTTATACTTTTGTAGCAACACTATTTTTATATAATGGCAAAGAAAGGGTTCTTCAGAGTCTTTTCTTTTTTTCCTGTGTCATATGTGGCAGCACTGCCACAAGTTCCTCTTCAGAGAGGGTCTTCAGTACAGGTGGCAATATTGTCACCTGCCTGCGCTCATCTCTGAAACCAGACCATGTAAACAGCCTGGTATTTCTTGCAAAAAATCTTCAAGAGATGACATGAGCAGCCCTACCAGCATTTGCCATGGTGGCCAAAACATTTTTATTTGGTCTTAAATTGTAGTTCAACATTTATTTCCTGTTACTTCTGGACCATGACGGTTGGCCAGCCTTCAACGTTTAACTGAGTGGAATATGTTGAATATGTTTTACCAAAATGTTGGCTATATGTTAAGGAGTTTTCAGTAGGTTGTGACAGTGCACTGCAACATATTTGATTTCATTTATTTGGGTCTAATTTATTTTTATTTATCATATTAATATATGTTTAGTATGGTTTTGGAAGTGCGCTCCAACACATTTATTGATCTTGTTTATTGGTAACATATTATTTGTTTTAAAGTTCAATAAATGGTCAATGAATAATCGTCAAAATAATCGTGATATCAATTATTGACCAAATAATCGTGATTATGATTTTTGCCATAATCGCACAGCCCTACCTGAAAGCGTAAAACACTAAACACATGAGAGCACACAGTCAATGGCCAGAAAATCATTTATGTATTCCCTTCAAATATCAGAAAAATACTTATATAACCCTTTTTTATAAGTTTTTGGTGCATTTATCAGCATAAATCAAAACAATTTGATTTCTACGCCCTACAAAATCCCACGTTCCCTTTTTTTATGCACTTCAGCCTATATAGTGAAATGAAAACAAACTCACCCTAATATGAACACAGTATGCAGCTTACATGATGATGTATGTCGCTTCCACTTCAAAAGGCGACAAGTGCAAAGACGTGTGTGTGTGTGTGTGTGTGTGTGTGTGTGTGTGTGTGTGTGTGTGTGTGTGTGTGTGTGTGTGTGTGTGTGTGTGTGTGTGTGTGTGTGTGTGTGTGTGTGTGTGTGTGTGTGTGTGTACTTGCACCAACTGCAGAGTTTTGTTCTTCCATTAATCATAAGAGGGACTTTATGAGCACCGTGTCTCTGGCTGTGGCCACATGGGGGTGGAACTGCAGTGTACATGCACACACGCGCACACACACACACACACTCTGGGATGGACCCGCTGTACTAAAGGTCATGGGAATACAGTGTCAGCGCTCAGCATGCAGTGTAGTCGCTATGTATATACACTGCAACACATACAGAGATCATAGTGGTCATTTGTCACATGTAAAGTAAGCTGCTCAGAGAGTGTGCTCTGTACAGCCGTCTCTGAAAGTCATCTTCTCCAAAACTCTTTGGAATACTTATTCTAAATTGTTATCGTGACTTCTTTCAGGGTCGTTAACGTTCTTTTATTAAAGTGATGCCGCAAAAGCCAAAAGTAGCTCCCCTGATGATTAATAAAGCTTGTCCTGACAATGCTAACTTCATTTAGCAGCCCCTCCTCTCTTTCATTTTGAATACCACCTTTCATTTTTTACATTTTCTTTCCCCAGAAATAACTATCAAATCCCTCTCACAACCTCAACAACCCATTCCCCCTGTTCCTCCCCCATTCTCCTCTCCATCTCTATCTCACCCTCCACACCACTCTTTGCCTCCCCATATTTTGTGTCCTACTTCTGTCGTAACAGAACTAGCTCCATCACAGTAACTCACACGGACGTAAAGCCAGGCATGCGGAGGTGTGAAAGTCTCAATTCCAGATGGGTAATTGTGCCGTGACCCCTCCTGGCTGTCTCCACTACGTGATCACACAAACATGTTCAAGTTATTTATTGTAAAAGTTTCATAATATCAGATGTATGACTGCTAGACCACATGCAGTGCAGTTTTGTCCAGGCAACATATTTTGTGGTTTTGTATAACGTATTTTTTGTCCACAATGGAAATGTTTTTGTGGAATACGGATCTATGTTAGCTTAAAGTGGAGAGGCTTAGTTTGGAGGCCAGAGGCAAATACAAAACGGAGAGGGTTTGTTGGTAAAGTATGTCTCAAACTGGAGAGTATAACTGCTGTATAACTTATTCAGCAGTGCAGTTTTGCTGAGCATAAAGCAAATACAGTGAGTGTTCTATTTACAAAAGATATCACGCTGAGGCATTTTTACTGATCGCTGTCATCATTTCTAAATCCTTACTATATATCGCGTAAGGAGGATGCTAGCTGTGAGATGCGACAATGAGAGAGGCATGTTGGTCTAAATTCTTTATTTTTAGCAGGGCGACTATTATAAGAAAACTTAAAATCAGACTGTTTTTTTGTTCTAATATTACACAGTTTGGTGTCTAAGCTAACAGCCAATAGGAAGACACTCTTTCTGAAAGACCAGAGCCCAGAGGAGGTGCAGAAGCTTAGTTATCACACAGACTACTTCAACTACAATTATTCTGAAAGGTAGCTATATCATTTTTGCACAATGACGCAAAAAAAAAGCCTGCTTCAGCTTAAATATTACATATAGTCACAATTACAGACTCTCATAAGTGCACAGAAATGTCAAAAGATCGAACCTGAGACTAAAACACACACTCATGGCCACCAAACAGGCCCCTCTATCATTTATAAAACTCCTCATCTACTCTAAATCACACTGTCCTTAACCGTACATGCCCCACTCTCTGGGAACAAGGCCCACGCTGATAATTCATCTCCCATTGTCCCATCCTTGCATATTCCTTATGACAGATTCATCTCCGGCTAATGGCGTGTTCAAGAGTCTGTCGGCGTAACGAGAGGTCTATCCGAGGTGAGGCCGCGCTAACCGAGACGTTCAGAGTCTCAGCAGGGTGCAGGCATTTCGAAGAGGCTGTGTAGTGCTTCTCACTAAATAGCATGACACTTAGTCCACAGTGCATGTCTGTCAAGCTTTCAATTTATTTGACATGCCGAAGCAACATGCATGGCGATGAAACAAAAAGGATGTGTGGCATAGTTTGGAGGGAGATGTCTATTTGGACTTTCCAAAACCAAAGAGACAACAAGTGTATATATATATAACGAGTGTGAGAGATGTCCCTCCTATTTTATCTCACGGTCGGCCATCTTAAAGGGGTTCACAGGCCCACAAGAAAACTGGGTGGTAGTTCTCTCAGTGCTTTTGCTACTATAAAAAAGCACTGGGATCACAATGCCATGTCTATGATGTAATGTATGTATGACGTATAACAACTATTCATAGCAAGGTATTTCTAGGGTTAGAAAAATATGTTTTGTTGTAGTATTGTGTGCACATGTGTGGTTTTTGACAAGATTTGTCAACCACCTTATATCTCTGTATTCCTCCCCGGTCGTAAAGAATGAGATCTATGGGCAGAGAGAGGGTGCTTTAAGGTCACAGCAGCATCATTTGTTCTCTGCCAGTGTGCTCAACTATTGATTGTGACACTGGTGCCCAAGGCAAATGTCGTCCGTGTTTACCCAGATTAATTAAAAAGTCCCTCACGTCACGTCGCTTCGATGTGTGAGCTGGCTCCGTCAATACCGGCGCAGCGTTCAAACTCAGTGAGCGTTTGTCTGTTTACAATGAGAGAACATTTCAGAGATATCTCAACTTCCTGTTGTCACTCAGAGGGGTCAGCTCCATTTCAACAGTCAATCCAGGACAGGAATTGCCATGTTGTTTTAGAAATAGTGTCATTGACTGAGCCGTCAGTGCAGTCTGTTAGAGATTAAAAGGGATATCTGATCCGCTTTTCAAATCTCCGCACGTCCCTATCAAGCTGGTTAATACAGGAAGGAATCCAGAGCTACCAAATAACCGTTACTTTAATGATAATATGACAATACAATACAATCAATACAGTACAAATTCAACACAGTTAATCCCTGGGATCCCGAATTTACCTGCACGTGAGCCAGCCAGAGGAAAGAGGCTGAACACCGCGTGTGTGTCTGTTTATACTCTTTGACAATGGGAGGAGTCATCAGATCCTCCCATTTAGAGCTCATTGATTGGCAGCCCAAATATCACAGACACCTCCGACCTTAGGTTTCCCCAACCACTGTAGCTAGATAAGTTGAATGCAAATCAAGACATGCTCTCACCTTCCCCCATCTTCCTTTGTCCTCAAAAACACATGTCAACAGGCCCCACATCCAGCTCACAGTTTCACCTAAATTATTCCCATTTTAAGCTTATCCATAGTTTGCTAACATGAATAAATACAAATATAACTCTACAAGTCTCCTGCTCACGTTCAGAGAATTGGACAGCATGGAGAGTGAGGTTAACAAGGTGAGGGTCAATCACTAAAGCTTAGCTTGGTAATCACAACACATCTTTGTTTTCCTCTTTCTCTCCCTGCAACACACTCACACATCCACACTGCCCTCTTTCTAAAGAGCATGACAATTATATCTGCAATTATAAAATAATTGTTTTCATAATCAACTTTGGTAATGCTGTTTGTCCAACTTTAAAGTGGATGGTGCCTTGCCGAGCCCAGTGTTTTAAAAAGCGGAGCACTCAACCAAATATTGAGTAATCTGGTTAAGACAAAGATAAGCCTGGATGTGGAGCGCTTTTGTGTGGGAGCGTTTAATTGTCAGCTTGGTTTTATCTACAATGCAGTATATTGCAGCGAGCAAATAAAAGCACTTGGCCCCTTAAAAGGCAAAGATTTGAGTCACTTGTCATCAGCACTATTGTTTAAGGCAGATAAGAAACAAGACATCTATGGTTATGTTTTTCTGTAGAATTGTTTATAGCTGTAAGGAACATCAAGGATATGGTGCTGATGTGCTGTACAGCTGGCTGGGTCCTGACTTCACCTTTTGGTCTATTTTGTTACAATTATTTTGGTTGACTATGTAAATACATAGTATAGTATAGAGATTAAGTTGCTATTCAAATTGAAAACGTTTGAAACAGCCATGGATTTGTTATCATTCATACAACTATAGCTCTTGAATAAGGCATATTATACATCATCATATCTCCCTTTTCTATAATATCCTTCAACTCAACAGATTTAGCTTTTATCTCTGTATTTACTGTCAGTCTCCTTCATTTGGCATTTGAGTTCAGTTTCAAATTTCATCTTTCAAACTGTGATATGCTTTTGATTTGATGTCAATTTCATCAACATGTTTCAGTTATCACAAGAACATGTTGTGTCCCGTGCCTGATCAGCAAACAACAGCTCCACCCTCTTGTCCACAAATAGCACTACTTCCTCCAAAAAAACAAGAATTTAAGGGTCAAAATGGCAAACTCACCGCTTTGAAATGGTACTCCACCAACCAATGATGTGATGTTACTTCTTTTAAATATGTGATTCAAATTCCAGCCAATACACCTAACCATTGTGTTCCTATCTGTCCTTCCTTTTGTCTGCAGGTGATGTCATTGTCTACATCAACGATGTGTGCGTCCTGGGCACCACCCACGCCGACGTGGTCAAACTCTTCCAGTCGGTTCCGATTGGCCAAAGCGTCACACTGGTCCTCTGTCGTGGCTACCCTCTGCCCTACGACCCAGAGGAGGCCGGCAACACCAACAACACCACCACCACCATCATCTCCCCGCTGGGCATCATGGAGCAGCGGCCCCTCATGGTGAACGGCAGGACGGGCTACGACAACTACCTGGACTATCTGTCCCGCACGGCCCGTTTTGTCACGGACCCCGGCCAGGACCAGGTCAACGCCCAGCTGCTCACCCCTCACCCGGGGGACACTCACCTAGACGGCTCGCTGCCTCCCACCACCGGGACCACACCTCCCGACAGCGTCTCCATGGCGTCGTCAGGAGCGACCCAGGGGGAACTACTGACCCTGACCATGGTGAAGGGCGGGGAAGGTTTTGGCTTCACTATAGCGGACAGTGCTACGGGCCAGAGGGTCAAACAGGTGCTGGAGCCTCAGGGCTGCCCGGGCCTCTGCGAGGGGGATCTGATTGTGGAGATTAACAAGCAACACGTGCAGGGATTGGTTCACACACAGGTGGTGGAGCTGCTGAAGGAGTGTGCCGTGGGAGCTGAGACCATCCTGGTGATTCAGAGAGGGGGAACAGGTAAGATCCATGGCTGCAGGAAGGGATGCTGGGAAGATTGGACCTCATTCACCAACTCAAATCGGAATCAGAATTCCTTTATTTGTCCCGCAACGGGGAAATGTACTTTATTACAACAGCAGAAGTATAGTGCAGATAAAGTAAAGAAAATACATATAAAAAAATAAATAAGTATGCACACGTTATTAATAATAAAAAACACAATAATTAAAAAAACAAATGGCAGATAAGTAGACTATTTAAATAAAGAAAAGCAGCAGTATACATATATAACTTTTTAAGAGGTAGTAGCTGTTACTGTTTGTAGATTGTTAATACATTTAAAGAAAAAAATTAAGCATGGATTGCATGAGAGTACAGTATATTGCACAAAGTTTTATATTTACAGGAAGTGTTATTGCAGATCAAGGGATTCATCATTATGAGAAAAACATGAATGAAACATTCTGCTTTTTAAATACACCTTTCTTGGGACCTTTCTCAAAACCAGATTTAGGAAGATATTGGTGAATGAGGTACATTGAATCTCTCTGCATCTCCTCCATAGTTGCCTTTTCTAGCTGCCTATCTGTCTGCCTGTCTCATAAGTCATCTTTGACTGTTGTAGCGTCTGTATGTGTGGTCCCAAACAAAGGCTGCAGAAAACACACTGCAGTCCTGCAGTGCTCAACAGCGTCTGGCTGGTGTGCAGCTGCTCTCAAATGCCCTCTCTATTCTAGAAAAACAGTTGACCTCCACTTCACTTTGTTCTCTGCTCAATGAACCCTAGCTCAGAGTGGTAAACAAATAGACGTTGCATGCTTTTTGCACATACTATTTTAGGATGTATTTGTCACGCCAGTTTCATATGTATGGGCAATTATAGCCTTTTCTCGTGAGCCACAAATAAAGGTGCCAAAATTAAAGCCTGTCAGAAATAGGACAGTTTCAACAATATGCTGGTAGACTGCAAATGGCTTTAAAGTGGTTCCTACCCTGTATTTCTCACAATGGCTTACCTCCTGACAATCATTATGCACTGCTCTTCGTTTTGAGTCACACACAGGCTGGTGATTTGCAGAATCAACAGGTAGCAGACTGTGTTCTGCTCTGTAAGTGTGTGTGGAGTGGGTAGACATGGCTGTGTTCCTCAAAAAAGGCTGAAAGTCTACAGACAGTTTACTTCTAACGGCAGGGCCTTTGACATTGAAAGGGAAAGAGGAAAGATTCACTGTCCTGTCTACGCTAAACATTTGCATGCCTCAAATAACAGAACACAAGTTGTGTTATCTGTCTAGAAACGTAGCTTGTCTTCTTTTTGAAATGGGGAGTTCATCTGCCAGCAATGACTCAGCCAAAGCTTCCATGTTGAAGATGAAACGTTTGAATTAAATCTTGATACAGCAATGTTGGCTGTTCATCAACCAAGCACATAGGACCTGTCTCTGTGACATCGTTGCTGTATTTTAATGTCACGCAGAAATCATAATGCCAACTGCCTGGTGCCACAGGCACCACTGAGACTCACCCGCAAAGGTCAGCCTCTGAATAGATGTATTGCCATTTCTTTCTTTATTAGGCTGCTCAAGTCTCTGTCAGTGAGCCAGGAGGAGCCAACAGATACGAGGAGGAGGAGATACGGACCAAGGGAATATTCGTTTTCCTTGGTCAGAGCATTGCATTACCAAAATAAAAGGAGATGAATACAAATATTTAAGCCTCTAAAATGTTGTCAGCCAAATATAGTCGAGTCAAGTTTATTTATATTGCCTATTTCAACAACGAGGACATTCAAAGGGATTTAAAAAACATGCAAATGCAGAAAAATATAATGCCAAAACAATCCAATTATTACATGTAAATACATGGCCAAGGGAAAAGCTAGAATATATTAAAACTAGGGCTGTCAAACGATTAAAAAATGTAATCAGATTAATCACAGCTTAAAAATTTATTAATCATGATTAATCACCATTCACCATGACAAAATATGTAATTTCTTTATGTATATTGTTGTGGGAATGGAAATATAAATGAAAGAAGGCGGATATATCCATTTAACATGTTTATTGTAAAAAAAATCTGTGTGTCAAAATGAAAGAGAGCACCTATCAATCATCAAACCGTGGGGTTTTAATTCATTACGTGTTGATTTCTATCAACGGGGGAGTAGGCTACTTCAGGAAAGTCGACGGGGGGGGGGGGGGGGGGGGGGGGCAGTGGAGTACTTCGTGACCACAGAGTGTGAACGTTGTGATCAGCTGTTTTAGCGCAGTTCTCCAGTGAAGGGGGGGAGTCTCCCTCCGCAGCCGGTTGGCGTAGTTTTGGCACAATTCCGTTGTACAGGCCGACGTTAACAGCAGCCCTGTCTGTGCACACGGAGACCGACTCTGTCGTCCGGTGATCTAACCGCCTTCTGGAAAAGCTTCACAAGTACGTCGGTACGCAAATGCGCTTTGTGACACAAGTGACGGTACGCATTTCAGATTACGCACATAACCTGCGTACCAGTTATTTGTTACCTGTAGGCTACTACAGCAAAAAGTATTCTCCGTCGGGACTTACACCACGCCGTTATTTTGATTCTGATTGGCCAGAAGACATTATCAAAGATGTTCTATTGAGAAGACGATCACTACGTGACAAAAGTTTTCAAAACCGTTTCTGGTCTTCGGTATTTCCAGACAATCAATCTTACTAACTGCTGTCTGTGCAATTCTCGGCGTTTGTTGGTGGACTTTATTTTGCTTACTTTAACATCATTTTTCATGGTGGGGCTAAGCCATTTCTTGGTATGGGTGTAGCCTACCCCAGCCATACCCTGGCGCTGCCACTGGTGGGATGTATGGGGCGGGCCATTCTGCACATGCGTTAAATATTTTAATGCAATTAATTCAAAAAATTAATTACCGCCGTTAACGCGATAATTTTGACAGCATTAATTAAAACAGGTATAAAATACAAAAATAAAAGTGACAGTGCAGTTTTAAGATATTCATATTTATGTGATTTAATCAAAAGCAGCAGCAAAAAGAAAAGGGTACACACATGGGAGGGGTCAAAGGTCTTGCGCCACCATCTCAAATATCCCCAATCTGTCAACACACTCCCCACAAACACACTCTTACATCTCCCATCTTCGATGAAGCGCTCCCACCATCTGTCCGGGTTTTGGAAAGCTTTAGAAGGTTGAAACAAGCGCTCCCATCTCAAAAGCAACCTGTTGGCCCGAGGAGAAAGTGGCAGCTCTATTTACGTTCTATTTTCCGTCTCATTATTCCAAAACTGGATATAGCTTTGCTTCAATGTGTAGCAATACGCCAGGGTGCTGTGTCACATCTGTTTATGTTGGTTTTCTGTGACTCGACAAGCTGTGGGTGCTCGAGGTGGAAAAAACGTCCGTGCCACCCTGGCTGACTATGACTATGAGACTAGCATGTGTAAAAGATGAATCCAATCTAAGACAACGTGCCATCTGGGTGGGTGTATTTGGGTATTTAACCAGATGAACACTGTGAGACTTTGTGTATTAGATTACTCACTCGGTCCAAAAAAAACATGCCACATCACTCCGATTCTTTCTGCCCTGCACTGGCTCCCTGTCCATCTCAGAACCCAATTCAAAGTACTGGTCTTCACATATAGAGCTGTCCATGGCCAAGCCCCAGCCTACATCAATGACCTGATCCACCCTCACACCGGGCCCTGAGGTCCTCTGAACAATTTTAATTTGATATACTTTATTAATCCCTCGTGGGGAAATTGTTTCTCTGCATTTGACCCATCCTAGTGTTAGGAGCAGTGTGCTGCCATTTTGAACGGCGCCCGGGGAGCAATGTAGGGAACGATGCCTTGCTCAGGGACACCTCGGTAGCACTTGGTCTTGCCGGGACCTGAACTGGTGACCTTCCAGTTACCAAACCAAGTCCCTATCGACTTCGCCACCACCGCCCCCAAGGCCTCCTAAGGGTGCCCCAAACCAGGCTAAAGACTAAGGGTGACCGTGCCTTTGAGGTGGTGGCCCCAAGGCTTTGGAACAAACTCCCCCAGATAATAAAAACCTCTGCCTCAATAGAGATTTTTAAGGGGCAGTTAAAGACCCACCTTTTCCGACAGGCCTTTGGGTCGTCGGGGGAGGTGAGTTAGTAGCTTTTATTGGTGTTTTATCGTATGTTTTATCCTAAGTATTACCTGCTGCTGTTTTATGCCTTTTATTCTACATGTTATAGTTGTACTTTGAATTGTGTCCTGTGTACTGTACTGTAAAGCACTTTGTACATCCGTGTTGAGAAGGGTGCTATATAAATAAAGTTTTACTTACTTACTTTCAGCTCATTAAGATCTGAGACTTCAGCTCCTCCTGGGTGAAAAACAGTCGCTATACAGGCTTTGTCATTTCTCTCTGCTAACTGTTTCCTTCATGATGGAGATAAAAAGGGCAGTGGGACTGAGGATAAACATGTGTCTAAATGTTTTGATGTGACAAAGCTAATGAGCTGTTTTGTCTGTTAAGGTCTTGTGGTGTTAACTTTGTAGACTTTCACCGCTTTCGTTGTCCCTCCTTCCCACACACTCTAAAATGTTAATCCAGTACGTTTTGAGAAAGGGTTGATTTGAGCAGTGGTTCCCATCTTGAGAGTCAGGACTTCAACAAGGGATGAACGAGTTATTAGATGAAAAGAGAGAAATGTTCATGTTTCTTTTCTGTGATTTTTGGGGGGTTGTTTAATCGAGGAGGGAAAATCAATTTACAGTTGAACCTCACTGGATTATTATGGAGATGTTTGGTTTAGGGTGCAACAAGCAAAAGGGCTGCAGACCCATGAAGATAATGGTACTACAATACAGTAGGTAGTTACTTCAACCCCCTACTTGTGTCTTAGTATTGTTAAACCATTCATTGTTATAACTGTCAACTAACAGGATATTAATTTACAGCAAATCTTATAATTGAGTATTCCCTCCCTAGAACTCCCCTATAAATGTCCAGCCACATTGGTCATTATTTTGTACTTTCCAAC